CTGGAAGATAAACAAGGGGCCATCTAACTGAGAAACAACAAAGTCCACATGGAAGAAGCACACCTGCCTGTAAGATGACAAGGTGGCGAAGGGGTCAGGTATGAGGCATCAAAGACAAAAAAAAGAAAAATCATAACATTGTGAATGAGGGGGAGTGTAGAGTGGGGACCCAGGGCCCATCCAGGGGGAATTGGGCATCCCGTTGCAGAAGGACTGTGGGGAGGAGAGGAGCAAATCAGAGTGCAGTTTAGCAATGATGAAATATGCAATTTTCCTCTAGTTCTTAAATGCTTCTTACCCACCCCCCCTACTACCATGATCCCAACTTTGCCTTACATATCCAGCTGGACTGGAGGATGTACACTGGCATAGATAGGAACTGGAAATACAGTGAACCCAGGACAGATGAAACCCCCAGGACCAGGTGGTGAAAGTGGCGATAGCGGGAGGGTGGAGGTGAGGTGAGGGAGAAAGGGGGAACAGATGACAAGGTCTACATAAGGCCTCCTCCCTGGGGGATGGACAGCGAAGTGGGTGAGGGAGACATTGGATGGGGCAAGATATGATACAGTAATAATAATTTATAAATTATCAAGGATTTAGGGGGAGTGGGGAGGGGGGAAGGAGGGGGAAATATGAGGAGCTGACACACAAGGGCTCAAGCAGAACGCAGGTGTTGTGAGAATGATGAAGTCAACATATGTACTAATGTGCTGGACACAAGTGATGTACGTACAGATTGTGATGAATTGTATGAGCCCCTAATAAAACGATTATTTAAGCTAACTAACTAAATAAATAAATTTTTTTTTAAAACCATGATATTGGTAAATTGGATATTGCCCCCATTTTAAAGATAAATGAATAAAATCTAATAAAAATTTAAAAAATAAAAAGAAGAGGAGTGTATTAGTCTAGGTACTAGGTACTTTAGAGAAACAAATCCACAGCAATTCATGTATAAGAGAGTTTTATGTAAAGAAAGTGTGCATCACGAAAACATCCCAACCCAATGCTGCCCAAGCCCA